ACGATTCATTGTAAATGAACAATCCACATGGTTCAATGTGTGAAATCAGATTCTCAAATTTTCACATTGGTCAATTTTTGCGCAGCGTTGTGTTGCAATAATGACAGTAACATTGTTGCGACATTATAAACGCGCACATCGACTAAGCCCAAAAGTTGAAACAATCAAGCTTATTGCACGCACAGTCAAAAATGAAAGGCGGTATTCGAACAACAATCTACGTTGGGTTGTGGCTAATGATGGCCAAATCAATTTTGGCTTTTGACGTAATTTTAATTTAAGAATTTGCAGTGTGTAATCGCAATTTAGATTTTAGCTGTGATTTTTGAAGTTATACTTGCGGTGGTGACATTTAGTAGTGTTCAACAATATTTTGAAATGAACAACAAAAATCAAAATCCTATTTTCAATTTGGGACGTTTCATTTTTCGGTTATTTGCACATTTTCAGTCAACTGCAAGCCCTGCGGCAACTGCAACTGCAAGCAACTGCGGACGAAGTTTGAAAACGGGGACATATAATTCGGTCTCCGTCCGTCTGTGCGCCCATGTGTCTGTGCGTCTGTGCGGAGTCATATCTCAGAATCCCTTGGACCGATTCTGTTCATTCTTTGCATGTGCTTAGTACTTTATGTGGGACATATGTACATGCAGTGGTTTAGTGATTCGATTCAAAATGGCTGACTGGCAGCCATCTTGTTTTTTGAAAATGTTGTATTTTGGACATGCTTTATCAGTTTTCATTCAAAATTGGTATATAGATTAAACATGTTAGGATACATGTTCATGACGATTTATTTCACAATTGGATCAAAGATGGATGACTGGCAGCCATCTTGTTTTTTGAAATTGTCGTATTTTGAACATGCTTTGTCAGTTTTCATTCAAATTTAGTACATAGATCATACATGTTAGGATACATGTCCCTGACCGTCTGTGAGTTCCTGAGTCTGTCCATCCGTCCATGTGTCCGTCCGTCCCTCAGTCTGTCCAGAGTCATATTTCAGAATCCTGTAGACTGATTCCGTTCATTCTTTGCATGTGCCTAATACCTTATGTGGGACATATGCACATGCAGTGGTTTAGCAATTCGATTCAAAATGGCCGACTGGCAGCCATCTTGTTTTTTGAAAATGTTGTACATGTTGTATTTTGTACATGCATTGTCAGTTGTCATTCAACCTTGGTACATAGATTATACATGTTAGGATACATGTCCATGACATTTTATTTCGCAATTGGATCAAAGATTGTCGACTGGCAGGCATCTTGTTTTGTTTTTTTATGCGGTATCTTGGACGTGCTCTGTCAGTTTTCATTCAAATTTGGCACATACATGTACTTTATACACGTTAGGTTGCATGTCCATGACAATTTGTTTCAAAATCTGGTCAAGCATGGCCGATTGACAGCCATCTGACTTTTTGGCCTTACTACTATATTTCCACAATTTATGTACCATTTTCATTCGTATTTGGCACATACATCATACATATCAGTGTGTTTCATAATCAGATCAAAGATGGCCGAATAACGGCTGTTTATATTTTTGGCCATAGTACTACTACACGGAACAGGTGTTTTGATGTAAATAAACAATCAGTTGTATACGCCACTTGGAACTCAAGTTTCAGGGACATGCTCGTGACAACCCCTCCGCTTTAATATGACGAGCACAAAGAGAACTTAATTTAACGGGGACTGTGTCATTTTCAATGACTTGTTGAAATGGAGATTGAAAATATTGTTTGACATTGAGTATATATATCTGAGGGTTCTTAAGAACTTGTCGGTTGGCCGCTCAATATCCGAGCATAGTGGAATTTCTGAAGGAAGCATGCAATGATTCTGTAACCATCATGGTATACACTCATTAATAAGTGGATAGCATTGTAAATGAGGGCTGTCTGGGAACGGGACTAAAACATTGCACGATGCATCGCCCAATTCTCTAAATTCAAAATATTATATCACTCAACACTTCAAGCACTGAAGTGCGATTTTGAAAAAGGGATAACACTTTTAAATAATAGTGACAGTGAACAAAGTTTCAACAAATGGTGTGACTGGAATATAACCATGGGACGAAAAAGACCTAAGCATGATATTGTTTTGTATTCCTTTCTTTTGATGTTTAAATATGCAAACATTTCCACACGCTTCCTCAAAATATAAAACGTACCAGAAAATAAACTGAGATGTCTCAAACCTTATCCTGTCTCAGAACTCTAAGACAGACAACTAATTTTCATTACAGACAATGAAAAATGTCGCTGTTCTATAGTGTACATGACAGGTCACCCACGAGATCATCACGTAGACAGACGAAGCGTGGGAAGATAACTAGATACATTGTTGATTTCGCTGGGTGGCGAAACCTGGCTCGTTAATAAAATGAAAATCCTCAAATTAAAAATAGGATTTCGATTTTCGTTGTTAATTTTAAAATTCTATTTTCGAAAGGGCAATGTTGCCACCACAAGCATAACTTTGAAAACTACAGCTAAACTTTAAATTGTGATTTCTTGTCGCCAATTCATCAGTTGAAATTATGCCAAAAAACAAAATGTCACGGTTAGATTCGAGAAAATATTAATAATTCAAGGCCACGTTGCTGTAACCTGAAGTTATGTTTACTGTTAATTAAAATTTGAGTTACTGAATGTGTGCATTAAACAATAACAAATTTTATGTTGTCTGTAACTCAAAGTTATGTTAACTCTTAATTAAAATTTGAATTACTAACTCGAAGTTTGAATAACTGTTTATTAAAGTTCAAATTACGAAATTTGAAAGTTAAACAAAACAAAACATATATGTTAACTGATGACAACAATTTTAGAACCTAATTTGCATGTAGTTCTCCTAATATGCTCTTTCCATGTTAGAAAGCTATATGAAATGATGCCAAGGGAGGTAGAATGCAATACACATTTAATCTGTTTTTGACTCCTGTGTGTGAAGCACACAATGGGAGTCTTTGCAGTTAGTTTGTCTGTCTGTGTGTGTGTGTGTGTGTGTGTGTCCGTCCATCTGCTCCACTGCTATCTCAAGAACCATACATACATGCTCTTGGCCAATGCACAGATTTGATTAGGTTTTGGTAAAAATCCATGCATATTAATTACCTAATCTGTATGATAATTAGCTCATTTTTAGCTGTTCCATGACTGCTCCACTGATATTTAAACAACCACTTATTGGATTTTAATGAAACTTGGTACATAGATGCTCTGAACCTATGCGCAGATTTGATTAGTTTTTGTTAAAAACCCGTGCATAATAATTACCCAATTTGCATGATAATTAGCTAATTTTTAGCTGTTCCATGACTGTTCCACTGATATCTAAACAACCACTTATTGGATTTTGCTGAAACTTGGTACATAGATGCTCTGAAACTATGCGCAGATCTGATTAGTTTTTGGTAAAAATCCATGCATTTTAATTACCTAATTTGCATAATGATTAGTCAATTTTCGTTTTTTCAACTGATACCTCAAGTACTAATAATCACATTCCAATGAAACTTCAGACATATATGCCATAGGACACTGCACAAACCTGATAGTTTTTAGGGTAATATCAGTACATATTAATTACCTAATTTTCAGCTTTTGATATTTCAAGTAGCAAGCATTACATTTCAATGAAACTTGGTACATAGATACTCAAGGACTATGCAGAGACCTGATTAGTTTCAGGTTAAATAATTGTGCATATCAATTACCTAATTTGCATATTTAATTAATTAATTTTCAACTTTCACACTGATATCTCAAGTACTAATCATCACATTTCAATGAAACTTTGTACATAGATGCTGTAGGACAATGGACAGACCTGATTAATTGTGGGTTAAAATCTGTACATATTAATTACGTAATTTGCATAATTAACCAATTCCAAGATATCACACTGATATCTAAAGTACTAATTATTCCATTTCAATGAAACTTGGTACAAAGATGCTCTAGGACAACGTACAAACCTGATTAGTTTGGAGTTAAAATAAATAAAACTTGGTACATAGATGGTATGTTCCTTTGCGCAGACCTCATTAGATTTACACTCAAATCTGCTTTGCATAATTAGTTTTCAGCTTTTCCATCAATATCTCAAATACAAGGAATTTCGAATTATTTTTAATGTGTCTCAAATAATCTCAGCACATGGGAGTTCTTTCCAAGCTTTCTTTGATTTAATTTGTAAATTAAAATGGTGAGCTTATTTGTATTACATCCAAACTTTTCTAAGTTCTTCATCAAAGTTTTTCAAATTAATCATTCATTTGAATGCTGTACTCCTTCTGTATGTCTTTAACTGTTTCGTCATTGTACGTAAAACACATGCACACAAAAACATTGAGGGAGCAATCATAAATAAATACAATGAAAGTACTGATTTAATGCCACAATCAGATTTTAGTATTATTGTTGCTCTACCATAAAGGGAAATCAAACATATGAAATTTGAAAAAAATTAAATCTGTTCCTTCTGTCATATGATACCTTTTAAATTGACTATCAAACACTAATAGTTTGTTGTTTTTATGTAGATTTATATCCCATACTACATCTCAAGTAACGGTGTATTCTGCTTTTTCAGATAATCAAGTCACTGACCAATATTTGAATTATGACTGACAGTATTGGGGGCTTGTCTGGCCTTAGAGATGTCCAGTAACAGTTCTCCAGAGAGAAATAATACTGTCCATTCTACTAGATGCTGTGGAAGATATCAACCAAAATATACTGTTTATTCTACTAGATGCTGTGGGAGATATCAACCAAAATATACTGTCCATTCTACTAGATGCTGTGGGAGATATCAACCAAAATAGACTGTCCATTCTACTAGATGCTGTGGGAGATATCAACCAAAATATACTGTCCATTCTAACCTCAAGAATATCAGGAATGGTAAAAAAGATCGGGATTCCTACCAAATGGAATCAACCTCATCAGAAGATGTACAGGGAAAATGCCCAAATGTGGCATGCCGCTATGATGCAAGAAGTTCGGAAAAATCATCCTCAGCAGAAGATCTGCAGGGAAAAATCCCAAATGTGGCATGCCGCTATGATGCAAGAAGTTCGGAAAGTTTCACTATCAAACAAAGACTAGAATTACTCTGCCAGTCTGAAAGTCTAAATCTTAATTTTTCAGAGAGTGAATCATCTGACAATTCTGAGGCATTCTCAGAAGGAGCAACACCGACAATTGCTACAAAAATCTTTATGCCAATGGATGGGCTTCCAGTTCTAAGTCCGGGTGAAAAAGTTCCATTCAGAGTGACTCTAAAAAGTAATACGTCCAATATTGAAGAATACCTGCAGCAAGTTGTGAATGAAGATGAAATCCTGGGAGAAGATTCTTTGAATGCATCATCCCAGCTTCTACAGGATTCCATTATTGTTGTTGATGATGAAACTGAGGAAAGAAAAGATGTACTAACTTCTACAAGTGGTTCTTGTAATTTACATGAAAAGAATAGTCAAGAAAACATTTCGCTAAACCATTCAAATGTCAGCAGTTTTCCATTTCTCGGGATGGAAGAATGCTGGGAGAGTGATCCAATACCTGAAACAAATGCAGTGGATAAGACTGGAATGCTGAGTCCAGCTATAAGGGGATGTCACAGACTACTGAAAAGACGACAACTGTTGCATAATGAAAGCAAAATGCCATCACAGAGCCCTCCGCATAATGACTTGCTTACTTACAGTAGTACTAGTAGCTGTGCTAGCAGTAATCATAGAGAATGTTGCCACAGTTTTACACCTTTAAATAAAAATAATATAGATGGTATTCAAGAAAAGTCACAAACTTGTGTCCAGGAAAGTGCTATGCAAAATAAGCAGCATTTAGTTGGTAGTATGGAGCCAGGCTTTGTTGAAGAAACTATGATGGAAATCACAGAAAATGGGAATGAGCCAATTTTGGTGATTCAGGACACAGATAAACCAGATTATTCGGTTAAAAATGTGGACAGTAGCCAAGTGACTGATGATTGGGAATCAACAAAACCTGAAAGTTTAGTTGAAGGAGACACTGTGAATATGATGGACATTGAGTCTCGGTCCACAACTATTGACAATCATATCACTGACACCTTATTGATATCAAATAAGATGTCTAATCATATCAGTACAAAACAGAAATCTACTGAGAATAATTTACTACATAATACTAAAGAATACAAAATAGTGCCAAATAAGAAACTGAGTGATATTGAAAATGAAAAAACATTATTTGATTCACTTCCTGTGGAGATTATGATGAAGATTCTGTCATATTTAACTCCTAAGGAGTTGTTACTCTATGTTGCACCAATTTCTAAGAAATGGTATAGTTTAGCTCATGAACCTATTCTCTGGCAGCATTTAAGTATCAGTACCTTGGAGACAATCGATTCTTATGATCTGTGTCAGATCATCCGAGGAGCCCCACTTTTAAAGAGTCTTAGCTTACGAGCTCGAGACGAACTCAATATAACTGAAATCAGGATGTTGACAATTTATTGTAACTATTTGCAGAATATCAACTTGGGATTTTGTGACAATGTCAATGAGAAAATTATTGAGACCTTGGGTCAGAATTGTAAGAATTTAGAATGTGTGAATGTAGAGGGATGTGAAAGGATATCAGACCGGTGCATAAAGTATTTTACTGCATTACCAAAATTGAGAACTTTGAATCTGTCTCATTGTATCAAGATTACTGATAAGGGAGTTATACTGTTAGCTGAACAGTGTGAAAGATTACAAGAACTCAATATAGATGGAATACCTTGGATTACTGATGAGTGAGTAGAGTTTCAATATTATCCATTTTAATGGCCTAATTTTTCCCATTCAAAATTTTTGGGCAACATCTTGTATAATTTGTTTTTACCTTGTCCGTATTTTTGTAGATGAAGGTCAATTATATATGAGGGGAAAATGTCTGTCCTTGTCGTTGACAGCTTTTCCTAATGCTTACAATAACTGAAACCGTTTTTTTTATTCAATTTCTTTCAAACTTGGATATTATATTGACCCTACCGTTTTCAAATCTATCTACTATTTTATTTTATTTATATATATCACTTATTCATTTATATGGAAAATTTTGATGCATATTCATTATAAGGATATTGAGATTAATACAGTACATGTAGTATTAATTGAAGTACAGATTGGCTAGTTTTTAGCTCCGCTGTCGACTTTGTCGAGCGAAGCTTATCATATGAGTGATTGTCCGTCGTCGTCGTCGTCCGTGTCAATGTTTTACTTTTTCGACTTCTTCTTGAAAA